TGCCTTCCCCAGTGAGCCAATTGGGGCTTTACCCTTCTGGGGTAGGTGTGCAGAGAGGGAGAATGGAGTGGGCGCAGGAGTGACGTGCTGGAGCTGGTCCCACATGAAACTGGCTTCCACCTCTCTGGGCCTGACGGATGACTCAGCCTGCCTCTCGGAAAGCGTCCTGATTTCTGGATGTTTCCGATGTTTTCTCACTCCTTCATCCTCCCTCACGTGTTCTCACTCTACTTCTGAATTCACTCTAACACAAATTTGTCCATATTATCGGTTGGATGAAGAGACACACTTTGGGACATCTTTCAATCTCTCTCTTGTATCTTGTTCTTCTCTTTCTCTAAATGAGTCAGTGCGTGTAAAACATTTAGAACGCTGCCTGAGCATACATATGCCACATGAGTGAGAACTCTTCTTTCCCTCTGGGAAGGGAACTGCACTGGGTCTATGGTGTTCAATGCTATGTTCCCAGCACAGAGCACAGTTTCTGGCACGAGAAAATGAATGGCCCTGTTTATCTTTCATGCCTTCCTTTTTTTCTTTGTTATTTCTCTTCTTAAGGAGAAATTTTAGATCGCTAACATTCTTTTTGGTCCTAAAGTTAAAAAAGCCCTTATGTCTATAAATTTCTCTGAATGCTGTCAATTTCTCCAATGCAGATTTTGCTGTTCCTGCAATTTTAATAGACACATTTTCTTCCTTATTTACTTCTATGAATATTTTAGTTTCAATTATTATTATTTACAAAGATATTACTAATAAGTGCATTTTTAAAGTTCCCAATTTGGGCATAGTTTTATCTTTTGTTATAGATAACCTAACCATTATCTATCTGTTGATCAGATAACATATTGATAATACCACACTTTTTTCAATCTATTGAGATTTATGTTATGATATACTAGCTATATGATTTTCTTTTACCTTTCCCACATGAGTTAGAATATGCATTCCCTGCTTGTTGAACATAGAGGTTGATACATGTCCAATTTGTTTACAAACCTTTGGTCTCAGGAACTCTGTACATTCCTAAACATATATTGAGAATGCCAGAGACTTTTCTTCAAAGATGGGTGTTCTCTAACAATATTGACCATCTTGGAAATTAAAACATAACCAGATTTTCCAGCCATACTTAAAAGTTTTCCAATAACTGAATCAAATTTCAGGTTTACATTGAAGTTTATTAAAGCTAGACACTAAATGTAGATACTCAGTTATTCCATCACAGTAGTCACATCTCAAGAGCTTAATACCCACGAGTGGTTGAGTGATTTTGCTAAAGGGAAGCACATATCTAGATTAAGAGTAGATTTTGTTGTCCTCCACATGCTAATTGAAGCTGTGATGTAAATGCTACAACAAATATTTTCTTTTACATGCTGTGGAAGACAGAGAATTCTGGAATGAGAATGAAAAAATGTTTAGTTTTCTTCTTTGGGGGGGTATATATCTTTACTTTTCTCTCAATTTTGCTGTGAACCTAAAACAGCTCTTTAAAAAGTAAAGCCATTTTAAAAGAAAAGGCAACATAGATGTTTTTGCTAATTACATTCTGTCTAATTTAGGATAAATATTGTTTTGTGTGAAAGGTACAGAGGGGATGAAAACTGCACGGTGGGTCCAGCAGGGAACTGTCCCCTCATGGCCAGAGCTGCGGGGGAGGAGTTGGAGAAAATGGGTGAAGGGAGAACCTGTGCATCATATAGATCTGTGGTTTTATTCTGTGTTCCGGGGAGCTCTATTCATGCCTAAAGAAACCTGTTTTGATTGGTATTTCTGAAACATCAATCTAGCAATTGATGCACAGGATGACTTGGAGGAGGGTGAAGTTAGAGGCTCAGAGCCCACCTGGGAGATTATTTCAATGATCCAAACAACAAAAAAAGAGTGGAATCTGACCTGGGGAAAATGGAGATGGGAAAAATAATTGAGACACAAGAGATACTTAGGTGACAAATGCAGCAAGATGGGGTACCCAGTTGGATATGGAAAATATTAAGCTGGAAAGTACCTTGCATAACTCCCAGGGAAAGTGACTGGGCAAACATTGGAACCATTAGCCAGAAGAAGACGGCTGAAGAAGACAGGGAAAAGGGAATAATTCTAGGGCAGAAAGAAATCCTGGGAGGCAGTGTGGAGTTACAGAAAGCTCACCAGCGAGCAGCAGTAGCCACCACCATTTGTTGCCATTATCTACTATTGCCACGACTACTAGTTCAAACACCAGGTTGTGAACATCAATATCAAATATTTCCACCTCCACTGCTGCTACCGGTTCTCATTTTGCAACCCAATAACTTCAGCCGCACTTCTTGGAGGTATAACTTTGGGTTTGGATTAGAATCCCGTGGGGCAGGTGAATTACCACCCTGTCAGTGTTTACTACCACCAGCACCACCACCAACACAACCACTAGTGCCTTTATCTTCCATTGAAAACCACTGATATGGCCTGGAATTTATAATGCTGTTCTGGGACGTTTGCTTCTACACCTTTTACTTTGACTGTTAATTCGATCATAACTCCCGTGATGACCTCTCATTAGCTGGAGGGTCTGATAAACAAGTGGAACCTCGAGTAAGAGGATCAAGAAATGCACTTTCTTCACCAAGCCACCCAAGCCAATGCCTGGGACTGCCTACTAATGGAGAAGGGTGAGAAGACTACTGTTTCACATGGAGAAGTGGAGAAAATGAAACTGGGTCAGAGACGGCTGGAAGAAGAATTGGATTTTGTCCTGGCGCAGCAGAAGGAACTAGAAGATCTCTTGACCGCTTTTGAGGAGTCTGTGAAGAACCGGAATGGGTCTGTTTATCCGATGTAGATGAGAAGTGTGAGAGGACTTCCAAAGTAGCAGAAAACATGGATGCTCAGCTGAAACCGAGAGCCCAGGACCTCAGTGACATTACTGAGCACTTCAATGTGTCTGAAAGACTTGCTGATACAGCCGACCTGCTGCCGGCCTGCAGAATTCGGAAGGCTCGTAGGGACTCTCCGCAGTGGGTGGCCAGAACTCGGGCATGATGCGCGGGAAGGGGGAAGGGGTAGCACAGGTTTTCCAGGATTGTCCTCACAAGGAGCAAGAACACAACGTCAAGATTGCTTTTGACTGAATGATCACACCTTCAGCATGCTGGTTTGGGTCATCTATCATCTACAAATTTTGATGACATGAAATAGAATAGCAGTTAACAATTGGAATATATATAAACTTAGCTTGCAATAAAGTGTGTGTGCATGTGTATTTAGGATTTTTTCTTTCATTTAATTATTGTGCTGTTGAGAATAATACTGTAGTTTTACTTTTAGCAAATCAAAGCTGTATTAGCCCTTTTCTCTGGGCAGCAGCCTATTACATGTTGGCTCTGTTTTGTAATTTGCATCTTACTCTCCTCGACTCTGAATCCTGCCACCAGTATACATCATGCTTTTCACTCCAACTGGATTGGAGAAATGCTGGCCAAAGTGTAATTGCCAACTAGACCGTGCTGGGTGCCTGTTACACAGTAGTAATGGATACTGTGAAGTCTCTCTCCTCAGGGGATTCACTCTCTAGCTTGAGATCTAATCAGTGCCTATCTTTATAAAAGCAATATAAACAGTACAACGAGGTGTGCCATGAATCACACAAAGGACGCTATAGAAATTCAGAGATGGGAAGGAGAGTTAGGATGGTTTGGGACTTGAATTATATCATTATTGAAAGGGCAAGGTTCAGGCCGTTCATTCATTTTTGACATATAGTTTACCCTTGTGTTTCACTTGGTTTAGTATATAAGTTTATAGTTGTTTTCTGTATTTGTTAATTTTTCAAGAAAAAGCCATGTTCTTAGCTTGAGAACAATCTGACCTGTTGTGTTTCATCTTTCACCTAAGTCAGAAATAAAAGTGATGTTCAAAAAATAAGAATGGAAAGAAGGAAGGACAGACAGAAAGCCAGCTTTGGAATCTGAGGCTTCGTTTCAATAGTAACTCCATCCTTTTTCGCTATTCAGTAAATTACCTCCTGAGCCCCTGGATCCTCAACTATATTTCCTAATTTGAGAACTTTGAAGAGGATTAAATATTTATGCATTTTTAGTTTGTAGAATAAACCAGATGCTCACTTAAAAATATATTGGAATCTGAAGGTCTGCATTGGATACCATGCGATGTGTACAAAAGGGAGGGAACCTAGGGCTTACTTTCAATCAGATTATAATTTAACCTTCCAGTCACTGGGAATAGCGATGTTTATGAGATTTCTGCCTGCTGCTACTTTGAACCTAAGGTGAATCAGCTGACATAAGCAATCCATTTCTGTTCTCACAACACACATTCAGTAACTGATCTCATCTGAATTAGACGTAGTGTTTGGGGCTGTAACCATCATATAAAACTTTATTGCTTTATAAATCGTTTTTGTTATGTAGAAAAACACCCATTTAAATATTTTGCATTAGTACTTTACTTATTTCTACAAGAAAACATAAAGGAACAAATCATCGAAAAATATATTCAATGATCCATTTCATTTTTTCAGTTTTCAAGACAAAAATAAATTAACAGGGACTCCTTTAATGGGCAAAAAAATGCAGCTGTTTACTGAAAGACAGCTCTCCCATTTTGCAAAATGGTTCCAAGACGATTCCTAAACCACCGTTGAAATAGTATGTGGAGGGTCCCGCAGCCACCTAACCTTTCTGAGCCTAACCACTGCCAACTCCTACCTCTCTAAGAATTTGATCACCCACTGCATCTACGCAGGGAAGGAATGCCCTGGCCGAGTCCAGCCTCAAGCTACCTCGTTGGAATCTACCCCTTTTTTTCAAATTTAGCGGGAATTGAACTTCCCGGAAACGCCCCCAAGCCACACACTCAGTTCTGCCCCGCCCGCAGAGACCGGACACTCCATTCCCACGCTCCCCGGGGCCCCCAGAACGCAAACGCTTTGAGGCCACAACTGCGCTTGCGCCCCCATCCAGCGCATGCGCCCTACTTCCGCGCATGCTCGGAGGGGGCGGCCGGCAGGGTCCTGGGAGCCTACCGGAGGCCGGCCTGCCCCGCCCCTGGCCTCCGCGCCAAGCTTCCCTTCCGCGCTCTGTTCCTTTTCCGGGAGCGCTGGCGGCGGCTGCTCGGGTGTCTCTCTCTCTCTCTCTCTCTCTGGGCTTTCAGCTCTCCTGCGGCGACCATGGCAGCTGGGACACGTGGGGTCGTCCTGCGGCTCTGCGCCTTAGGTACAGGCCTGGTGGTAGCGATGCGAGGCGGGCCGCTGAGATAGATGCCCGCGACCGACCGCGGCTGCTGCCCCATGCGCCCCTTGCGGGCTGCCCGAGACCAGTGCCACTCGCGCGAAGGGCGCGGCTGCCTTCCGTTTGGTTCTGATGCTCGGTGGCAGGAAGTTTTCCAGCGGCGCTGGCTGCACTGATGATAGGCAGGAAGGATGCGACCTTCCCAGCTCACAGCCACCCCGTGCTTTGGCTTTAGGTTCCGAGCCCTGTGCTTTCCCAAGAAGGGGCCGAAGAGAGGGGTGGCCCGGGGCTGGGCTGGGCAGGGCGGGGCAGGGCAGGCTCAGGTCCCGGGGACCACGTGGGCCTGTTCTGAGCCCCGGCACCCCTGGTTCTTTCTGGGCTGCCTTTACTGAGTTGCCAAGACATGCCGGACACTGTTCCCGAGTATGGATTAGCGGTGGAGCTCAGCGTTCTTTCTATCCATAAATTTGGGATGGAAACTAATAGAATCTGGAATGGCATTTGGAGTGTATACCCAGGAGATCATTGGCTTTCAAGAAACATAGCGCGCGATTCCTGTCTCTATTCCCCAAAGATGGAATGTTCAAAAGGGGAAAAAAATAGCAGGGAATTAAAGCATATTTGAAAAGAACCTCTGATTCACTAGCATTACCTTGTTTGTAATAGTATGGTTGCATGCAGAGTACATATTTACTAACCAAATGAACTATTTATGCTTTGCATCACTTGTGCCCTGGGATGGCTCAATGATGAAGTTTTTGGTGGGTTGTAAAAAATCAAAAACACGATAGGTGACTGAGCAATAAATAGTACAAGTCAAATGATAGATCAGCACTTATTTTATATTTTGTCTTTTTTTTTTCAGTTGTTTTGCTTGATGTGGCTTTCTGTAAAGGATTTGTAGAAGATTTAGATGAATCGTGAGTATACATATTTTTTAAATGGTATCTTCTTTTGGGTATTTGTGTGAATTTAATCTTTTAACAGTAGAGATGTAACTTACATAGAACTAATCTGATTCTAGGGCTAGTTGCCAGTGCTATGTATGTACAAAATGGGGTTGTACTCAAAAGACAGACACTGTTACAAGATTTAAAAAAAAAAAACTGTGGCAAACTCAACTTATGTTCCATTTTATCATTTTACCTGTATTTGTTATGTTTTTCCTTCTGTAATCTCTTGTAAGCAGTGCTGGGGTTTGGGAACATACTGTGTGTGTTCATGCGTTTTTGTGTGTGTGTGTTTGTTGTTGTTTTGTTCTTTGTAGCACCACAGTGTTAATCACAAGGCTTTGCTTGTAGTAGGTGAGGATTCCTGCTCCAGACGGAAACCAGAAACCGATGTGTGATCTTGCAGGCAATTCCAAGCCATCCCCCCCTCCCCCGCAGGCCTCCAGGGGGCAGCTGCCCTCCCCACACCAGACTTGGTGCAGCCAGCGCCCTGCGGTCTCTGGCGGGAGTTGTAGTCATAAACTAGCCCTCCCCACGCCCGCCAGCCCTAGTTGGATGCTCACCTGCACACCCAGCGCACTTGCCTTTATGGGTTTGCGGGGCTGCACCTCAGGCATTTGCTGGGCACCTCTGCAGAGACCTACTCACGGGGGGCTTGGCTGAGGCACTTTCCGCAGCGTGGACTCAGTGCCTTCCCACTCCTGCCCACCCTCTGCCCTTGCGGCCATGAGAGGCAGAGGCGGAAGCCTTGGGGTCAGTACTCCTCAGCAGTGAGAGGGACCCCTCGGTCTGTGCTGGCCCCCCTGACCCCTGCCTGATGCCACTCCACCTGGGGAAATGGAACTCGGGGAGCTGGTGCTCTTTTTGTGTTTTGGTTTGATTTGGTTTTTGTTTTGCCTCTTGGTTGACATCATAGCAGTAAGTGAATCAAGCCTTCGTTGCTACATTCAGTTTGATGGGTTTGACCCCCACACGGTGACATTGGTGCAGCGGCCGGTCATTTGGGCACAGGGCCCCGTGGGGCACTTTACCACCCAGGCCAGTGGGTACTGGGGTACACTTGTCGATTGTTTACAGAAACTGATTCTGGGGGGAGCCGTTGTTCACAGGGCGGTCATCGCGTTAAATGTCACTGTAGACCTGCTTTCGAACGGCCTGACAGCTGTGACTTTGCCTGGGCAGGAGGAAGGGGATGAGCAGGCACAGACACCCCAAACTAGTGCCTTCCTCAGTCGGGTGCTCTGTGGACCCTGACTCTGGCAGGGCTGGCCCCGCATCACGAGGGGTGCGACCGGTCCTCTCCGCTGTGAAGGCCCCGGCCTGCCGACCTCAGGCTCCGACAGGCAGGACGGCGTGTTCGGGCTGGTCCGTGCATGCCAGCCCGGTCCAGGGTGTGTCTGCCTCTCCGTCCTTGAGCGCACCCAGCAGGCTGTCACTCATGCCCCTGCCTGCTCCAGGGCAAAGCACAGTTGGTTTCTGCGTTGAGCTGACAAACCTTGTTTGCTCCTTGGTTGCATTTCCCTTTGTCGGCATAGGGGCCTTTCCGGTGAGCGTCCGTGTCGGCACGGAAATGCGCATCATGTCTCCATGCCAGTGTCTCATCTTCACAGGGGTCCCATTCACATGCCACACCAGCAAGTGGCCAAGCCGTTAGCCACGGCCCCACGAGTCAGTGACAACGGGATGGCGCTTATGTGCTGGGGCTGGAGCCAGGAGACGGGGGTGGGAGCACAGGGGGGCAGATGATCACACGGCCTTCCGCACGGCGTCCAGCCGCCCATGTGCGAAGGTCCTCCTCCGTGCTTCGTGAAGGACAGTCCCTTTCCTGTTGGTGGAGGCCACACCCAGTTCCACTGCGCTCAAGTGGAGCAGGAGGAGCCATCGCTGAGCCAGGCCTGGTGGTGGGGGCGTCCAGGAGGTCTCTACGTCCGGGACCCCACTGGGCCGGAGGCGGCTCCTCCGTGCTGTTCCCCAGAGATGGAGGGGCACTCACCAGGCCTTTCATGGAGCTGGGAGACCCCCGCGGGGCGCCTCGCCACTCCTGCCGCACTGTGGGTGCCAGAGCTGTCCCTGCCTGCCAGCGCGATGGGTGGCTGTGCTCGTGGGGACTTCTGTCAGGGGCTGAGTAGGCCCGTGGTCCCCGCCCCTCTTTTCTGTTCAGGCGGGGTCAGAAAGGGCCACAGGGAAAGCGGCCGTTCTTATCAAACCGCCCTGTTTGCTCGTCGTGACACCAGCGAGTCACCGTTTGTCAGCTGAAATCCAAGTTCCTGCATGCCAGCCACGGGCAGCCGAAGACCAGGGAGCTGCCCGAGGATGGCAGCCTCCGCCCCGCCGTGCCCACGGTAACGCGGGCGGCAGTGCAGCCGAGAGGCAGGCGCTGAGGCCTGCCTCCGGCTCCGCCAGGTGCCGCTGCGCCGCGGTGTCAGCTCTCCGCCGCTCCGTTCGGTGCTTCGTGGGCAGGCAGAGAGGCCGCCGAGTGGAACTTGCGCCTAGACACCTACCGAAAGCCTTCGTTCCACGCTCCTCCACTCGTCCATGGGTTACCCCACCTCTACCGTTCAGTGGTGAAGTGCAAGCATACCAAGGTTTGTCTTCCTGTTTTTTGTTTTCTAGGTTTAAAGACAGCCGAAAAGATGACATCTGGCTTGTGGATGTGAGTATGTCGTTCTTTTGTACGAAGGAACCACCCCTGCCATTTCAGGTGGTATTTTCCTGTCCTCCTCCACCCACATACCTATGTCTAGTTCTTAGGTACACTGCTCAATTCTGTTTTCTTAGGTAGTGAGTGCTGTTGGCGTTTTATATTAAAGCGAACCCCAGGGCCTTCATGTTCCTGGGAGGGAGCCCGATTTGGGGGAAGTTCAGTGAGGTCAGCCTGTGGGCTCTGTCTCGGGGGGGTGGCGTGACTTGACTGCAGCTCTCACTCTCAGTTTCGTCATGTCGTCCCGGAGCCGGTGTCCGTGATCAGTCATCTGACACTCGACATCATGTTTCATCTCAGTAGGGAACAGAGTCACATTGTCACCTTCCTTTCCTCACCTTCAAGTTTGGACTATATTAGCCCTTGCGGTGTTTGGGAGTGTTTTCGCATGCCTCCGTCCCAAAGTAGAGTGGCAGCAGGAGAGACAGCGTACCGGTGGCACAGAGTTGACACTTGGCGAGGCCAGGCTGTGGGCACGAGGCCCACTGTGGAACACTCTGTCTCTTGTGCTTGAACACGTCCACAGTGTAGCATTAATGAGAAGATAAATCCTGTTTCGTGGCAGTGCAGCACGCAGTCTGCTACACCATTCACCCTCACACCAGGTGCCGCCCTGGCGGCTGTGACTGCAGAGAAGGAAGACCTGTGTTTTCGGTGGAACCAGCCTGCCCCGCCCCCCTGCCCAGCCAGTGGTGTCTTACTGGTCTCCGGTCCTTCCCGGGGGTCCCGTCTGAAGTAGCAAAGGCACCTGCTGCGTTGGAATGTTTGCAATAGAACTAGCTAGGTAGAAACAGAGCATGTGTTCTGCATTTGGTGGTCTCATCTTATGTATAACATGGACACACCACTTGGAAACTAAGGTGCTTTTACTGTAAATTGTATATCTAGTTTAAAGATGTATCAGTAGTCATTTAAAATACCCTAAAGTAGTGTCAACATTGAGGTGTATGTTGGGAGTTAACCTATCTAGGCTTTTGTGTGTGTTTGTTACTATGTTAACCAATTTGAAAATTACATTGAGAGTTTTGTGTATTTTTTTTTGTCTAGAACAGTTTATTATCAGATCACTTTGTCAAATAGATTTTTTAAGAATTAACATTGGTATTCATGGTAGCACAGCATATTAGTGGTTGTTTTTGTTTTTGTTTCAACAAGTTTTATGCGCCATGGTGTGGTCATTGTAAAAAGCTGGAACCGATTTGGAATGAAGTTGGTGTTGAGATGAAAAGCATCGGTTCGCCAGTTAAAGTTGGGAAGATGGATGCTACTTCCTATTCCGGTAAGCATCTGCTCAGTTCATTTCTTGACTGTTCTCCTCATGAAAATGTTTAAGTTATGCAAACCAGTGTTCAAGGTAGGAGGGAGAAATGCGTATGTATTTTCGGTCACGTAAAATGAAAGGTATCTTAATGTAAGACTGTGCTTTATGAGTTAAATGAATTAACCATTGCATGTGTAATACGCAGACCACGGCACCCACTGCCTGCTAGCGATGGATGCATAAGCCATTGTTTCTGCTTGGAGTGCCCTGGAGGTAATCAGGGGCCGGGGCAACCGTAGGGGTTAGAGCACTGACAACCACCGGTGCTGCGGTGGGAGCAAACCGGGAGAGTCCTTGTTTGAGTCGGCGGCGGTGGCGTGGCCGGGGCGTAGGTGGGAAGGTGAAGGGTGCGTTCAGTCAGGGTGAGTGCAGGGGAGGGTCGGGAGGGTGCTGGCAGGAGAGGGAATGTCAGAGCAAAGCCGGAGACTTGCAGGTGAGCTCATGGAGAACGTGCGAGAGAACAGACTTCAAGAAGGGGTTGGCCAGCCGCAGCCCGTGGACGGAGTCTGGCCGCCGCCTGGCCCAGCAAGTGGAGCCCCGTTGGGACTGAGCCCGCCGGCCTGCCTGTGGCTGCTTTCCCGTCCCGGTGGCGCAGGGCGTAGTTGTCACAGAGACTGCACCCCCGGCAAAGACTCCCACATTCGTGACCCTTTACAGGAAAAGGTTGCCCATGCCTGTCTTAAAGATTTCAAAAAAGGTGGAGTCAGGTGGGGAGAAAGACAAGTTATCACAGAAATTTGGAAAGAGCGTGGCTTCAGGGAGTCGGAATCCGACGCTGGCCCGGCCTGCCGCCTCACCGCGCAGCCCCGGGAGGTGCTGCAGGGCACCCAGCTCCACGCCCACACCGGGGGTCTTTACTGTCGCGCCTCTCTCACGGGCTCCTTGGAGATTTCAACGACGTAGCATCTGCAAAGCCCCTTATAGTGTTCAATAAATGCGTGTTTCCTTTTCCTTCAATTAATGAAGAAAGGGGAAGTCGTTGTAGAAAATCAGCATTGTGCTCTAGGTGCAGTTTTGGAACAAGACAGACCTACGTTTTAATCCCAACTCTGCGATGTCCTGTTTTTTTTGTGGCGTCAGGGAGTGCTCAATCGCTTAATTTTAGTTTTCTTGCCTGAACATGGAAGAGTGACGATCCCCTCGATTGGGAGGATTGTATTGCTGTCTCGTATTCAAAACCCTAACCGCGATGGCCAGTGCGTTAGGAGGTGCCAAGGGGTAATGACAGGTTTTCAGGGCCCCTCCGGTGGGACAGAGTGTTCTGGATTTTATAGGTTGTCAACTAAGAGGCATTACACGTTTTCGAGAAGGCCAATGATTTGTTGCATTCCCGATGGAAAGAAGAGTGGAGACGAGAGGCAGGAGATTCGGGGTGACTGTGGATGCACCTGGGAGGAGGGTGCCAGGGGCCCAGACTTGGGTGCCGGCAGTGGCGGAAGGAGGAAGCGGGAGGAGGAAGTGGGAGGTCTCAGACACGGTCAAGGGGGAGAGCACAGACGTGATCGGTTAGCACTGTGACAGAAAGAAGAACAGTTGGGAATAAGAGTGTCGGATTCTTAGCATAGTCACTGAACTCCACCACCGCCGGTTATGTAGAGAAGACTACGAAATTTAATTTTGTCCGATTTTCACGTTAGCAGCCGGTTTGAATTTGCGGTGCATGTTTTGCTGTGTTGATGTCTGGGAGTGGGAGCTGGAGGGCAGACACGGTGTTAGCGCTGGCATTACTGAGCGCCACAAGTGAGCTGCTGAAACTCGGGGAGGGGAGGAGGTCCACGGCAGGGGTTGCTGCAGAGAGAGACGGAATAACATGCTGGAGTTGGTGTTTCCTGAGAGAAGCTTTAAGCACAGTTTGAGAAATGACTCCTTTCACCTGCTGTTCCCCAAAGTAAATGAACTGTGTCTTTGCTTTTATGTCGATTGCACATGCGTATTCATACATTCATGCATATAGTCATTCAGTCGGTCAGTCAGCATGTAGTCGCTGCTGCTCGTCGAGCCTTGCTCTGGTCTGTAGAAACCGAGTAAGGACCAAAGCAAACCCTGGTAGTCTAATAGAGGAGAAAGGGACAAACCAACAAGTGCAGTAAAACCTTAAACACTCCACACTCTTGTGGCCCCTGGAGTCACTCAGTGGAGTGATAAAGTAATGTGCAGAGGAACATGGGGTATAAAGACAGTAAGAAACGTAGTTCCTATAAATCAGTAAAATCACAATGGTGAACTACTCATGTGATGCTACAGTGATAATTAACAGTATACATCTGTCAAAAATTTATACTATCTAATTCCTTAGTGTTTTCAGTATTTATTAAGTCACACTATGATTGGAGAAAAATAGCGGAGACTTTTCTGAGTAGCTTGGAGAAGAAAGTATTTTGAATGCTGTGACTAAAAACAATATGTTTATAGTTCTTAAGAATTCATGTACAGTTTGTAGCTTTATGGTGGGACATTTACTCATTTCATATTTATGACCCACTAAGAGGTTTACATTTTGCCTCTGATATTATAACTGTTAGAGACTTTATTTTTTGGTACACTTACCATTGTGTTATACGTTACGCTGAATTAATGGGAGAAAACAGCCTCTACAGCGGTTGCATTGCATGAAACAGAAATCCACCACGTTACCTGAAGCACATGCCCAGCTTTAGGAGGAGGGAGGGGACTGGTGTGTGCCGAGGACTGCCCTGTGCCTGGAACTGTTCACCCTCTGTCCTGTGGTCCTCGATGCGGACTAGTAAACCTCCGCCCCCTCCGGGCCGGCACCCCAGCCGGCACCCCAGCCCGCACGGCGAGGCTTGCCCCCCCCCACATCCTGGGACGGCTGCAGGCGCACGAACAGAGCGTGGTGAAAAGTCGGTCTTGTGTTGGACGTGGTAGAGCCGGCATTCCCTCAGCAGGTAGGCGGTGAGCGCTCAGCGCGTTCCCGGACGTGCCCCAGGTGTGGTCTAGGCATGGGCGGTACATACGTTAGTGGGCAAAACAGACGGAGGTCTCCACTCCCGTGGATTTACATTCTAGTGGGGAGAGACAGACGATCACCAATAAACCTAAGTAAATTGTCTGGTATTACTCGGTGTTTGATGTCAGTGATGGGTGCATTTTTCATTTCATTATAGCATCAAGGAGATGTTTTATGTGCTATGGAGAAAAAGAAATTTATCTTGTTAGTACCTAAAAAAGGTTGAGGTATTCAAGAATGATTGTTTAGAGATCACAAATAGATTTTTGGCGTACAATTTTTAAAGTCTCCGGAAATACTTCATGGCAGCTGCAGTGCAGGCAGTTCAGGAAAACTTGGGGTCACAGAGGTGAAGAAATTGAATTTTTCTTTTCGAGCCAGCTGCCGGTGCGGCCTGTGTCTGACTGCGAGGCACCAAGGAGCGGCTGGGTACTGGCACCTCCCCCAGCCCGGGGCTGCTGCTCGGGTCTCAGAGTCCGTGCTTCCCAGGGTGCCGTCCACGTCTGCGTCAGCATGCCACCCGCATTCGGGTCACTTGGGGCGCTCGCGTAGACTTGGGTTCCGGAGGCCCGCGCCAGCGCTACCGGACGAAAATCCCCGAGGCGGGGTGCTGAGAATCTGTGTTTGTCCGTGGACTTGGGGGATTCGGCTGCACGCTTACGTTGGAGAACCACAAAGTAGAGTAAGGTATCATTTCGCTGACTAGTTCCTTAGAGGACCGCGGCTCGGGGTGGGATGGTGGGTCAGTGATAGAGGGCAGGAAGTCCCGCAGTGTTGGGGGAGGGGGGCGCTGCGGTGCGTGGGAGCGTCTGCAGTTGCGCGCGGACCCCTGCTAGACCTTGAGCCAGAGAAGCGGGAGCTGCCACGATTCCCTCTGCCCCGTGTGTTCGCAGTCGGGTGCCTGGTTGTAACTAGTAATCCTATAAGCAGGTAACACTTAAAAGTTGAATAGTGTCCGGTGTAAACTCACATACATATCTTAGCCTCTCTCTTTGTGCATCCCTTCAAAACTGAGTGCTAAAATTGTGCCTTGATCAGAGTTTAAAGTGGCTATGATGTTAGCTGTAATGATGTGTTGATTTTTATTATGAATCCACTGAAATTCTGTGTGTTCCTCAGCTTAAGCCTGACATAGGTAAAAATCGCATTTTACCTCCCTTCGATGCATGAACTTGCAGCGCCATTGGGCCAATAGCATCCTTTCTCACAGATTGTAAGCCCCTTTGGGCAGTGACTGTACCTCAGGGCTGCTCACACCTGGCACTGTGGACATTCTGGGCCAGATGATCTTTTCCTTGAGGGCAGAAGGTGTTCCTGTGCATTGTGGGACATTTAGCAGCATCCCCGGCCTCTCCCCACTCGACACCAGTAGCACCGGGGCTCCCCCACGTGGTGGCAGCCCAGTGTGTCGCCAGACCTCACCCCCTCCCTGCAGCGGAGAACCGCCACTGTGGTGTTCCCTTTTGATATCTGACACCTGGTGATGCCAAGTACCGAGAGGAGTCGTGTCTTAGGCGGAAGGGGACTTTGGATGGAGTTCGGCTCCTTCCTTCTCCTCCCTCCCGTTGTGTAGGTGAAGCAGCAGAAGGTCGTTAGCCGTGAAATGACTGTGAGTGGTTTCAGACCGCAAAGTTGGGGGCAGAATTAGGCCTGAGTCCAAGGTCACCATGACCCACCTCGGTCTCTTCAAGTTATTTCACGGAGAAAGCAGCGAGATAGGGGCACCATGTTTCACCTCCGTTTATGACCATTTTAAATGACAAGACTTGAGGGGAAGTGATGCACGTTACAAATGGGTTCTTCAGTTTATAAAGGAATCGATCTTCGGTTTCATTGCACACTATTCTCTAACGAAAACAGAAAGAACAAGAAAATGTAAATTCAGACTTGAGTTGCAGTCTCAGCCCTGCTACCTAACCAACACTTGCTCTTGAAAAGGTTACCGACTCTACCTAAGTATTAGTAGTAGTATTTGAAAAACATTAACATTTTTTCTTCCCCCACAAAATTGTCTTAACAAGTAGTCAAATGTCTCTTAAAGCCAGTTATAAGACACTCTGCACGTGCTTATTCTTACGAATGCCATCGGTACATGGAATCACCCGGAGATAAATACTCAGCACTGCGATCAGGGTCCAGAAGAGACAGGAAACACACTGGTGTCTGCGGGTCTCTGTGTGCCAGCTTCTCCGTGGGGCTCTTTCTCCAGGGGCTCACGCTCGAGTCCCACCCACAGCCTGATGGGGGGTGGGGGGGGAGGACTGTCCTCGGAGGGGCAACGGTCAGAGAAGCGAAGAATTCTGCAGAGCTGCACGGAGGGTACATGGAGAAGCCGCCACCCTAACCTGGGTCCTCTCATGCCTGTAACCCGTGCTTTGCTTGTGCACTTTTTATTACCCGCCCATTTTCCTCTTGGGAAACCTAAGTATGCAGTTTTAGGAGTCGCTGCACTTGAACTTCTATCAGGAATGGAGGCTGATGTCCGTTCAGGGAGCCAGGGGCTGCAGAGTGGGTGGCGACACCCGTCACTGTCCTCCGGATCTCCACACCCGGGGCCGTGGAGATGAGGTGAGGGGTTGGACGCCTCTCTGAAGCCTGTTCTGGGAGACCACACCCAGCCGTGAAACACCACCGCTGCGTTTTCTCAGGGATTGCGTGTGTCACTTTCTAATTGGATTTGTGTATAAGTAAGGTTCACGCCAGCGTGTATAAGGAGTTCCCGGTGGGCTGTGCCCTCTGCCCAGCGGTTACATTAGTCTTCACCCGAGGCAGTTTTTAGTGGGTTCTGGTTGAGGAGACGAGGGCCTGCCTCCTGAGCCTGGGGTGGGGGGCATTAAGAACGAACTTGAGCCGCATAATTTCCCCCGAATCATTTCTGTGTTTACTTGGAAGAAGGCTGTTTCCAGAACAGCAGTCCTCAGTTAGAACATACTCGACGGACGGCAGAGAGTCCTGCATGGGAGATGGGCACAGGGACGTTGTGAGGGCGGTGGGGCTAAGGTCACATGGCGGTCGAGAGGCGGGACCTGCGTGTTCAGGACCCGGGTTCCCCCCGTGCTCCCCCGGCTGTCTGTGTTGCCTCTCCCGGAACCCACTTTCCGATGCCCCTGCCCCACGTTTGAGGGAGAAGCTCGGGCTGACAGAGGAAGGCGAAGGGATTTGCGTTGTCGTCATTCTTGTGTGTTGGTGGGGTTGAGTTGAAATCAAAGCTTGACATCATCACCAAGGGACTGGGGACCAGAACCTGGGCGGAGCGTCAGGTTCCCCGCCCAGCTGCGCGGAGAAAACACTGCAGGGCTGGAGGAAACAGAACATGTGGGGAGGTCGTGCCAGTAAAGACGGCGCACTTGACGTGTGCCAGGGTAGTTGTGTGAGTGTGTTGTACATAGTCTAGAAAGCGAGAATATTTTATTTTTTTTCCTTGACTGTCCCAGTTGCCTTGGGTCTGTAAAGTAATATAGCATTCATTTGCTGTTGTGATTTCTGGAATTCTTGAAGTCCTGATTCTTGTTTGCTTGTTTTTGTTACTCTTTCTTCATTTCCTTAAAAAGATGCCCCTGTAGCAACTATCTCATTTTAATGTGAAGATTGCAGAATAATCTTTTTGTCAGTTGGACTGAGTCTAGGTCATTACAGAAGCAGAAACTTCTAAAACCCATGGATGAAGTTGCTTTTAGTTCATATATTGATTGTAGAAATTTAATAATCTTACAGATGTGACTTATGGTTTTGAAATTAAAATGCAGTTCTTTTAAGACTCAGAAAACATTAAGGGAAGGGTGGGCCCCTCGCCTTTTTATTTTTTAAAGGAAATATTTGTGTTGGAAATGAAGTCAAATGAGAAGTGAGACTTTATTTGTACGTGTGTTTATACATACATATTTCTTTAAACAAAATTATTTTTAAAAATAAATACTTTAGAGGCAAAATTTTAAACTTTGGCACTTATTTCTTATGTTGTCATAATATTTTGTGCAGGCTATAAATTAGATTTGTTAAGTATTTTGTACAAGAATGTCATTTCTTTTTGTGTGTCTATATTCCTTTTAGACTTAAAACAGTATATCTGTATAAGTTTGTATAAATATATCTATATTTTTAAGTAAAAAAGGTTCATTTATTACCTAGTTCCTCATTTTTAAAAAAAATTTAGAATTATTTATTCTTTTTCTTATCAAGGCATTGCTTCAGAGTTTGGAGTTCGAGGTTATCCAACAATTAAGCTGTAAGTTGAGTGTTACATGTTTACATGTGTGTTTTCATTACTTCGCTCTACTCACTTTTCATTGCCTTGAGCTCCGGTAGCTGCCCGGCAGGACTGAAGACGTGGGCTCAGCCGCTCTCTCTGGGCGCGGTGTGCGGCCCGAGGAGGGGCGGCCTCTCCCTGCTTTTCCGAGTTGGCATGAACGTGCCCTCGACGGCGAGTGCGGCACGCGTGGGGCTGTGGCGGGCTCCGTGCAGGGCGAGGTGTGCCCGCGGCCGGTCACCAGTCCCGGCCTCCTCTGCCCGGGGAGCTCCCGCGTCTGTTCTCCGGGTCGTGGGCGTCCCGCCTCCTGGCGCGTGTGCCCCTCTGCCATCGTAGTGATGGGCGTGTCTTCAGAGGTGAAAGAAGCAGAGGACCCCGTTTACGGGTGTTCACTCTGGTCTGTAGGCGTCAATCGAGTCTAATGTCAAGTGTGCAAGTTGGAAGAAATGGTGTGATAATTCTCAAGGGCTTATTATTTATAGTCATCATTTTACTGAATTTTCTTGGGAGTTTGGTCCATATCCTTATTTGATAATGTGGGGAGGTCAATTATTTTGACACTTATTTTTATAATCAAGTCATTTTTTATTTCTTGGGTTTTGTGCTGACCTCCTACCTTCCCCCACTTTTTGAATGTTTACTGACCCTCCTTTACTTCCTCGTGTTGAGTCAACCATCCTTTCCATTCTTTACTTACGTACAGATGTTCTGCTTTGCTTTCACAATTTTTAAAAAAAATCTCAGTTGGACACATATTCATTAGTAAACCTTTAGAAAATTATCTAACTTTCTAGAAGAGTGTTTTTATGTGTTTTACTCTGTATTATTGGAGCATCTATCAAGTTACTATGATGTTGTAGCGCTTAAAATTTTTTTTGCCATTACCAAATAGTTTAATTTTCTGACCTTTTACTTGCCTTTTAAAAGAGAAGAGTGAGAACTATAATGCTTTGACTGGTCCTTGACCACGAATGTATAGATTATTCGTTATTTATAAGTCATAGATACAATGCAACTACCAAATACTGAGCAAATTATTTCATGTAATTTTAATAAAATATAGTCTTTTTCTTAATATTTTGAGTTGCTGACCCCCTGACACCAGTCGTCTGCTCTGTATTATGTGGTTGTACTGTTTCCTCTAAATCTCTGCATTTAGCACTTATATACAGCAATTTTATCTAACAGTAGTGATTAGCATTAAATAGTGAAACCGTTGAAATAATCCGAGCTTTTTCTTTGTTCTTTCTCTTTAAGATTAAAGGGGGACTTGGCATACAATTACAGAGGGCCGCGGACCAAAGACGACATCATTGAGTTTGCTCACAGAGTGTCCGGGTAAGTTGGTACTGGGAAAGGCCGTACCGTGTGATACTGACATTTGAAAATTAAATTTTTATAGATCCTTATTAAAGGCTTTAGCCTGAATAAAATCTGTTCTGTATTTATGAGAGAAGATACAGCGCTGTGCGGCATGTGTAAGGGGATCCTGTGAGGGGGCGGGGGGTTTGTGGCTTGATTTTAGACTTGTCATCCTCACGGTCAAATCTTGGCACTACGTGGGAGACCGTGTCCCCAATTTCTAACACCATTTCAAAATTTGATTGCTTCTAACAACTTTGTGAATCTTAATTTTTATTTTGTTGTAATTTTGCTGTTGCACTACCTGGTTTGCATCAGTTTGTTTTTACTGTTACCTAATTTTAGAGTTTTAAGAGAAACCCCTCAACATTATTGTTGTGAACAGACCTGGGCTTTGAAGCCTTGGCCTGTGCTAAAGGAAAGTGCTTTTTAGATGGAGCCGAACACTTACCCCGATCTCCCGCCCACTGCTGTGTGCCAGCTGTGCTCCGTCATTGCACATTTTGCCTGTCGGAACCCACGTGCTTCCATAAGCATTTTCTGTTGGTTGGAGTGCAGGGATTTTGCTTTTTAGTCTACATCTTGCTGGGGTATAAAGAAAGTTGGTGTTCATAATTATTAAAGTGATTTTGTGCAAGTTTTTGCAGAGAACAAAAATCAAGCTAGCTTAACCTGTATTGAGTTTGCAAGTACAGGCACTTCCTCCTGAGCTTGACAGGATACAGCGATGGTTTGAAATGGCTTTAAGGGAGATCGAAATAGCGGGGTGGATTTGTTGGGTGGCTTGATGCTATCTGGCTTAAGCTATTTGAGGGCGAGGCACAGAATTAGGAATGATCTTCATGTATTAAAGTTTACAAAGCCTCTGTATTTTCACTTGGATGGCATATCCCAGCATGTTCCATTGTCTCCGTTTGCTTTGCAAATAAATACATTTTGAGATAATTTTATATTCTGTAAGGGGATTGCTAGTAGGTACTGTATTCCCCCGTGATTGAGGTTGGTCTCTATGCTTTGGCCATTTTTAATGAGCTTTAGCTTACGCTTAAGAAGGGCTTCTCCTGATGTAACCGGAGGCGACTCTGCCGCAAGTGAAATTGCAGGAGTCAGCCCTGGAGTTGCGTCACTCCCCAGTTACTCAAGTCAAGCAGGAACCGGAGCGGAGTGACGCAGTGTCGCTGCGGAGTTGTGCGCGTTCTGAGATACGTTTGCCTTTGCAGAATGGGTTTCCTTCTTTTTGCAAATTTGGTGGAGTCAAAAATCTGATAATGTAGGTCACATTTAAAAGAAGACTGCCTCTTTGTTTAATTTTTTAATAATCTGTAAGTGGTATGTTTTCTAATAATCTTTGATGTAATTTATTTCTCAGTCTTGCTGGTTTGAAATATGCTTATATAATAAAATCTTTGTACTATTTTGTTTTCTCTTTCTGAGCTCCTTTTTCACTGTTCTGACTGCCATTTTCCATTCTATTTTTCCTGAGAAAAAATAACATACTTATGAAAGGTTTAGGTTTTAACTTCAATAAGGTATTTTAAAACTACATAGCATTTAAATGGGCAGCAAAAGTTGTAAATATTCTTAATATAGTATCATAAACTCCTGGGATAGTATTTCACAGTGTGTTTGTGTGAATGATCTTTTGGGGAAAAAAGACAATTCTCATGTGTATTGTTTTGTTTTGGCTGAGAACGCTAAATGAATGTTCTCACCTCTCAAAATATTGGCTAAGTTGGCACTCTGAAGGGATGTATTTTCAACCCAGTTGTTAGGCTGATGGATTGCACGTGGGTGCTGTATGTGGGAGCAGGAGTGGCCGTGTGGTATAGTTTTATTTATGTGGGTTGGGTGATACACTTAGATGCAGTTAATACAGTGTTTAAACTTTGTAACTTGAGACATAATGGGCTATCATATTAATAGGATTGATGTCGTCTGTCTTTAGTTCAAATACAAGTTCTTTTTTTCGTTTGTGTCTTTTTCGAACAGAGCTCTAGTTCGGCCACTTCCGAGTCAGCAAATGTTTGAACACGTGCAGAAAAGACATCGTGTGTTTTTTGTTTACGTAGGCGGAGAGTCACCTCTGAAGGTATCAAATGATTTTTTTTTAATCCAAAAAGACACATGTATGACAATTTCACGTTCTGTATGGGCAAAACTTCACCAGGACCTGAAACTCACTTCACTCTTGTTGGAAACACTGCAGTTCGATCTGAGTGTTTTATGGTGCAGGCGCGGCCTCGCAGGTCCTCCCCAGTGTGTGCGCCTCCCTGAACCAAGGGTGAGTGGAGAGCGGGCGGCTGTCGCCGGCCCTGGTGTTCCTCCTGCCACTGATCTGGTTAAATGTCTTAGCGTTTGGAACCTTTGAGACTGCAAACCGCATTTTGAGTATAAATGTTTTAAAGGCAAAAAGACGATAGTCTTAAATTGATTTATGTGTGTGTGTATCTATGTGTATGCACACACTTCTCTTCCTGTAGTCATGAAGTTACGTTGATAAATATGAATCGAACCTGTGTTATATGTAGTGAACTGTATTTGGAGGAGTATGAAAGCACTTAGTTACAGTGGTCTTTTGCCATACAAACAGTTTATTTCATCTTTTCACATAAAGGGACTTAAGGTAGCAAGTTGTATCGATACTACATAGCGAATGCTTTGACCTTGCCCTGATTGTTTAATGAGGAATTAACTTTGATTTTAAAGGTACCACTTTTTGTTTGTGTTTTCACAGGAGAAATACATAGATGCTGCTTCCGAATTAATTGTGTATACATACTTCTTTTCTGCCTCAGAGGATGTGGTTCCCGAGGTAATATTTAAAATTAGATTTTGATAACTTTAATTTTCAAATTACTAGATTTTATCTATAAGGTTTATTAATTGTGATATGTGTGGAAGCAGTAAACATATTTACTCTGTTCTACTGATACCAGATTGCTTCTTGTTAATAAGCAAATATCACTAGATTGAAAGCTTTTAGGGATTATTATTATTACATTAGTGCTTTTTTTCCTCTTTAAAATCATAGCAGTAGTGAGAGGTGATATTCATACCCCTAATAGATTTTTAAGTAGTGGATTTACTTACGGGTCCCCGTAGCGAACCAGCCACTTCCTGTCCTCCAACCGTGCGCCTGGCACTGTGCAAGTCCCAGCTGGGGGCAGCTGCCCGTCATCAGACCCTCTGGGGCGGCCCCCAGTCTCCGGGCTGGAGGCCTGGGCTCCACTTGAGTGTGGCCGGTGAGGTCTTCAGACCGAGAGGGCGGTCCTGGGGAAACAAAGCTGTAAACAGGACATCGAAACGGCCCTGAAAAATAGAGGAGCAAGGTCATCGCAGGGACATGCAGATACGTTGGTCGAGAACTGTCTGTCTGTCTGAGAAGAAGACGTTTGTTTGAGCGGGGACTTAGGTGACATGAAGAGGCCACGGCCAGGCCTGTGGCCCGAGTGAACCGGGAACAGGGAACAGAGGGGGCGGATGTGCCCAGCATGAGGGCACTCCCTGCGCGTTGGAGGAACAGAGCAGTCGGCCGCTGCAGTTGTAACGCGAGGGGGAGGAACGGCAGGCGGGCAGGCAGAGGCCCGGGAGGCCCCCAGGCCCCGGGCAGGCGTGGGGTCGGCGGGAGCAGCTGCAGGGCCTGGCCTCGGGCTCACTTGAGGAACACGGCTGCGCTAGCGCAGAGTGAGTTGGCCCCGGGTGAGAGCAGACCCAGAGGTCAGTTGGACTCTTGAAGTGGTCGAGGGAGTTTGGGCGTGGAGGGGAGTAAGAGAATTGGGGCGAAGTGGGAGAATTGTTGTGCTTTGGAAATAGAAGCGTTCGAGCTTGCCGATCTGGAGGAAAAAGGAAAACTCAAGGGTGACTCATAGGTTTTTGGTTTGAACACCTGGGTTTCAAACCCAAAACCTGAAAGATGGTGGTGTTTTTGTGAGCTTGAGGCGACTGCAGAAGGAACAAGTCAGGGAGTGAGGGGTGTGATCAGCAGTTTTGAATTGTCTATTCTAATTTGATTCAGCATATTCAACACCCAAGTACGGCCACCGAATGCACGGCTGGGTGCAGGGGTCTAGAGTTACGGCTCTCTGAAGAAACTCCTCAGGCACTGGCATCAAGTTGTAAGACAGTGAGAGGGCCCAGGGCGGAAGGCAGCAAAGGACAGTGAGAAGTCACCGCCCGTCAGTAGGAGTGGCCGGCACGCGAGAATCTCGCAGAGCGATCGGGGTGTGCAGAGGAAAGCAGTCACGTCTGTCCACGTGGAGGTGGGTGGTTCAGGAGAAACGGTTTCAGAGTCGTGGGAAGGGCCTCACTGGTGTCGTTTGAGAGAGATTCCGGTGAGGGCCCGAAGCCTCAACTGCAGACTTCTCGTCAGTCGGGTTTGCTGAGAAGGGGCCCCGAGCACTTCGGCCGTAGCTGCAGGGGGGAGTGGGAAATGATCGAGGGAGCTTCTCTTTGTAATCAGTGCAAGTTACGAGAATCTAAACAGCTTTTTCACAAAGGTATGTCATACTGCACACAGGTACGTTTTGTTTAACATAGTTTAATGTTTAAATATTTTGTCTGAAGAAGGTTACAGAGTTACCTAGAGTATGGGTTTCATGCTTCCTCTAACATGTGTATGGAGGCTTATCTTATAACTGCTCTGAAATGGTTTTGCGCTCCTTGGGGAGCTCCGACGCCCTGGTTAGCTCAGGCGCCCTGGGGTTTACTTGGTCTGGTCTCGGGGGCAGTCGGCAGAGCCTGTGCGGCATGTGCGCTTGCTTTCAATGGGGAGGGAGGACGGGGTGGGAGATCGGCCACACTGCCATCACATTCTGAAACGGATGCCTCAGAAGGTTACGAACCACTATTCAGGGTCTCTTCACTCGATACGAAGGCCTAGAATGGACTAGAACTAGAACTTGTAGTAGACTTTTGCCTGCTAAGTGCAGTGGGTGATCGATCACCTTTTAGTATTGGAAAGGGGAACTCAACATGGCTCCCGCACCTGCAGAGCTTTCCAGCAGCTTCCCTGGGGGTGTGCCGGCGGGCCGGCTGCCTCCCAGGACCAGCACCACGGGACACGCTCCCTGTTGGTCCTCAGGTGACACTCAAGTCAGACCGACACCCCGGGACCCAGAGTCGGGGTCGGGGTGGACACGGGCAGCGCTTGCTTGCTCGGGGCAGACTTCTTGGTTGTTAGGTGTCATTTTTATTACTAGCCTTCTCAGCCAGTTATTTTTTAGCTTTCTTTAATTATTCCTGCAAATATCAGTATTTGTCATCTCCCTTTTACTTCTGAGTATGTGGCTGCAAAAGACTGCTAGAGTAATAGTCATTTCAGAATAATAGGAGGGTTTTCATTTTCATAAGGGACTCTCAACTAAGGACAAAGCCCCTGATTTTATGTGTTCTTGCCAAATTTTGAATTTTCATGTGTGGTCACGCAAGGCTTCCTTGGCTTTACGACTGGCATTTATGAAAACCTCAACAGGTGTAGTAAAGAGATACAGAGATGAATTAGGACAGTTTCTGACTGAGGGACATTTGCAGATGGAAGGCGAAGATTGTCGTGCAGACAGTTGACTGTCACAGAAGAGTGGAGTTTACAGGAACGCGGGGGAAGAGGAGAGGAGGCTCAGGGTCCCGTGGGGGCTTCCTTACTCAGAGCCGGGGACGTCGGTGAGCTCGGAGGCGGAGCCTCACCTGCCCCGCCCCTAAAATAGCTGTGTTCCTGGTGCCCTGCCGCTCGCTCTGCGGTAGTAACGTGGCCGGACCCTTCAGTGCTCCCTGAGATAGAGGCCCTCTCCCCTCTGCAGTCTTTGCAGGATGGCGTTTTTATTTTTATTGTTATTTTATTAGTTATCTGCTGATTCCTTTATTTGTTTGTTGATACTTTCAGTATTACCACACTCACGTAATACCCAAATTACATCTCTCTTGCTCTAATACTGATTTCCCTTCTGTAATTTTACTGTTTTGAAATAATTACAACACACGTGTAGGAAGCAGCTACCTTCTGAATGAATCCCTTATTGCTAATTACCATTATAAGTTCCCATTTGTACAGCACTTGGCAGTTTCAGCCTGCTCTCACGTATGTTAGCCGATCCACCCCCTAGCTCCCTGGAGGTGGGGGTCCGCGTGCTCGGTCTTCAGCGGAGGGAGCTGACTCCCTGGGCCAGGGGGTGGCCTCCCCGCACGGCAGGGAGTGGTAGGGGAGGGCTTGAACCTACCGGGGCCCAGTGACACCCTAGGCCCTGCCTTTCAGCCTCTTCACGTGCTCTTATCCTTTACTTCTCACCATGGACGGCTCGGGCTGTTGTCAACTCTGAGCCTATTCTATTCCATAGTCCTTACTCGGGGAGCAGGCACGTGCGAGATGGGTGTGCAAAGAGAGACCACGCGCAGCGCTTGGATGAGCTGGGGGGACCAGTGTTCTCTTTGTAACTGTTCGTGACAATCTTGTCACTGTTAGGTTCTTCTGTGTTTCTGGTATCCTTTAATAATTTTGAAATCATAGCTGCCAGTTGAACAGTCCTCAGTGATAAGACCGCTGACACGCCTGATCTTTGCAGTACGTGACGCTGAAGGAGCTGCCGGCCGTGCTCGTTTTCAAAGACGGGACGCACTTCGTTTACGACGGTGAGTCCCGCGCTCAGCTCGGGTGGGAGTTTCCAGCGCACAGGCCTGTCCCGGGACTCCGTGTTGGCGGACTGGGGAGTAAACGTCACTGCCGCAGCAGCTCCCGCCAGTTGGTTCAGTGACTGGCACCTTTTCCTTACCCTACAGCTGTAGTTTTCCCTGTTAGTGTTCTTTGTTTTGGGTTTTTGGGGGGTTTCTTGGTTAGGTTATCTTCCTTTTTGAGAGAGGGATCCTATGCAATTTCTATGTGTTACTTTAAAATATTCCAAAGTTAAGTTTTAAAAAAGTGCATTTCAGACACACAAAAATGTGAAGAAATGATAAATGATTAGTAGTGGTGACGCCTGGCATTTTCTTTTCCACCTTCCGCTCTCCCCCCTCGACGGGAGGGCCGCTCCTCAGCACCTCCTCCCTGAAGCAAACGTCAGTCTGTTCTAAAAATGTGTTTATTGTATTCAACATAACTGATAGCAAGCATAGTCCTAGAGTAATACGTCCCCGCGTACCTGCCCGTCACCCAGGTAGCTCTTACCCGCATTTGCTTCAACGAGCTCCGTTCCTTGTTGAAGTGTCAAAAGCAAAACCCAATTGCATTTCGTTATTGTGTGCTTCATACCCAGCTCTTTAAAAGGTGGACTTTTTTTGTTTAAGCAACCATATGCTGTTATAGCACCTAACAAAATGAACAGTAATTCCTTGACATTATCCAGCACCTGCTCCCGCAGTTCTGAAAGGTACTCGGCAGGCAGGGCAGGGCAGCAAACTCGGAAGAATCATTCTGTGCCTTAGGCCTCTCGTATATGCTGTGTTTGTGTAAAACACGCCCCTGCAAATGGAATTGATGAAGTTAAGGTTACGATCCTGGCATTTTATACATAATTACTAGAGTGGAACACACAAACATTTCGAAGACATTTACACTACAATTATCAACTTGCTTTGGTTTTTCAGAGTATGAGGATGGCGACCTGTCAGCTTGGATCAACAGGGAGAGGTTTCAGAACTACCTGACTGTGGACGGCTTCCTCCTGTATGAACTGGGAGACACGGGTACAAACATGCACACGGCTCTCCGCCGCGCGGCAGGACTCCTCCTTGATGGGTCGCTTAAGTCCGATTCTGTAGCACATGAGGTTTAGGCTCGATGCAACAGTTTCATTCCCTCTGTAGGCCTGCGTGCCAGTGCTCACTCGTGAGAATTTACACGAATGTTACCAGAGCGCACACCTTTGTCTGTGGGTCAGCGCTGAGCTAGGGGGGCCCCGCTGCTCGCTGGCGGGGCTGAGGGCCCCAGAGGAGGGAGCCTGGGTCAGAGAGAGGAGCAGCCCTCCGGGAAGGCGCCCTCAGGAGGCCGATGTTTGTAACAGGGGCCGAGGGGGACTCACCCACCTTCAGAGCCCGCTTCAGCCTGTGAGGGAACACGGGCCCCAGACGGGCCTGGATTCTCCCGGTCCCGTGGTCCAAAGCGGCAGGCACAGCCGTGTACGCAGACGCAGAAGTGAACGCTGTGCGGAGCTCACTTTGTGGTCTCATAGACGCAAACTGCACAAAGCTTGGGGAGCTAACCGTGGACGTTGTAAGGAGCCTTTTGTAGATTTATAATGAATTACAAATGGGAAATAGGTCCTGCTTATCATTGTCACATTTGTTCCCGTTCATAACTTTACAGTGAACAGGATGGAAGTACAGTTTCAATTTAGAGAATGGGGAAACTAAACGCTCAGTGTTTTTTAGGAGAAATGATGTTTCAAGAGAGGAACTCATCGTGAACTGACGTTTTCAGCCGAGGGGTGAAGGAGTGGGCCCCGATTGTGGAGAATGGGAGACGCATGGAGCAGCCTGGCGCTGGGGGGGAGGAGCACCAAGGGGTGGGGATGGTGTTGTGAGGTGGCCCGTCGAATCCTGCATTGCTGTACCTGCTCTGAGCCAGAAACCGTCCCCACGTTTCCGTGCCTGTACTTGCACTCAGCTCTCCCAGTCACTTCGAAATGGGCGCTCGTTTCCAAAGTAAGCTAATTTACCGAGGTTGAGTCACACAGCGACAGGCGCCGGAGCTTCACCGCCGTCCCCCCAGGCCTAGACCGTGACACGCACCGAGGGTCCACTGGCCTCCCAGGGGACATCGGAGATGACTGTGACTTGTGTGCTGTGGAGGGCTGAGGGACTTCCAGTCCGTCTTATTTTGTGTGTGATTACTGGCAGGTAGTGACTCATGGTACCAAAGGGAATAGCAGTATAAAAATCACTCTCGTTACATATCATAGAGCTACAGTAATTAATGGTAAATGTCTTTTATCAGCTTATTTCTTATGTTTTATGCTTCTGACAAACCACTGAATTGTTTTGTGGGTTGTGTGAAAAAGTACAGTTTTTGTATACACATAATTAAATATTCACTATTGTTTACATCTTGAGGATGGCAGTTGGGCGGGAACTTACTACTTAGAGTTGACTCACTGATTTACTTTCCTGAGAATGACATGTAAGATTGTTGAAATTAACTTCTAGAAGCAATGTTTACTAATTCCCAATTCACAGCTATGGTAATAATTGACAAGTTTGTGTAACGAGGGTTATTGAATTTACGTATGTCATTCTTAATTTCAGGAAAGCTTGTGGCTATTGCAGTTATTGATGAGAAAAACGCATCAGTGGAACATACCAGGTACAGTGCCTTGAAATCGTTGTAAGCTTCAAATATCACCTACTTCAGACTTTGCATGGCTTCAGGTAGACTTACCATGGTGTCTTTTCCTGCGGCGGTAGGCAATAGATTTTAGAATTGAGTAATTATGACTCGTGAGTCAGGTGAAAAAAAACGAAATATTCTTGTGTTGTTACTTCTACAGATTGAAGTCAGTCATTCAAGAAGTTGCTAGAGATTACAGAGATCAGTTCCACAGGTAGGTACTGGCACTCTGGACAGTTCCTTTGTTTTTGTTCAACTGTGTTTGGTAATGCAGTGAGCCAGCGTAGCAGTGCTTCCTGCTTTCCAAGGTGCGTCCGCAGCTGAAGTGAACGACAGCATGTTGCACTTCTGTGTGAATTGTCTGGACTTGCAGTTTGCTGACGTGGCCCATCAGCAAATGTGCGTCACGCCTGCCTCTTGACGGGGTTTGGGAGGAGGCTGGCGGTGAGAAGGCATGCACGCGTGCTGCTCCTGCACTGAGATGGGGTGGCGTGAGCAGTCACAAGCCGGGTGGGCCGGGATGCTCGGACAGGAACTCAGAGAATGACCCGGGAACACAGAAATAAGTGATATTTTGCCATGTGCTTAATTGAGCATTCTGTTTGTTGCTGACATAAGAGACGGTCAGTACAAATGTTACATTATTTAATTACTATTCCCTTTTTATTGAATCATCTAATGATGTATCAGGGATATGTATTTGTGTTTCTTCTGTTACACAGAATGAGCATCTTCTGAGTGGTCCTATTTTAGAGAGTGTACTGTCCTTAAACATGTTTCAGATAGAAAAGCTCGTACTGCCTTTTTAAATACATATGAACAGTATCTTAGAATTTATTTAATTTTACTTACGTGTATTTGTATCTGAAAAACCTGTAGGAATATGCACTTTCCTACATTATTGTATGTGATTTGTATGTTAAATGTTTAGTGTTTACATGCTTACTAAGCTCAGTTCTTTTTTGTGTTAAATATTGCTCTCTTTCTCTTTTTTTCCCTATGGTTGTTGTTGGCTAGAGATTTTCAGTTTGGACATATGGATGGGAATGACTATATAAATTCCTTGCTGATGGAGTAAGTACTAGCTGGTTAAATGATTTCACGATGAATTCTATCCATTTTTTAAGTTTGTGTGTCTGACGGACGGACAGGAGGACGGGAGCCGAGCAGAGCAGACATGGGCTGGATGCTGGTGCAGCCGTTCTCCCACCAAATGTTTCCCTGTAGTGTTTAGAGCTGTCTTTACAGCTTTCACATTGATCGACTAAAAACGTGTGTCCAAAGTCAGTTAATAATTTATATTATTTTGAAAGAGGATATTCAGAAACTTATAAATTTTGTAGTTTTTGTTTCATACACACCTTACCTGGAGTTCAGTTTTAATGAAGAATTTTAAGTAGAAAATTTTTAGTATTCAAGAATTAATTGCCATCCTAGAAGAATTTAACAGACTAAAATAACTTCAGAGGCAAAATATGGAAACTTCATCAATTATATTTATGATGTAAAGTTCAGATTTGTCACTTCATAAAGTTTATATTAGGAATCATTTGCCATACCTATACTGAATTAACACATTCCAAATAAGAACCTACTCAATTCAGTGGAAATTAATGAGTATTTACTATATGTCATATACTGTGTTCGGCACTGTTGATGCAGAAAATTGGTAGGTTAGAGTCTGTCTTCAGATGCCTGTGGTACACTGGGTAAGACTGCAGGTTATTACTATGAAGGTCTGTGTGTCAGAGGGTCCTGACATCAGAGCGCTTCCCACCCCCACCCTGTTGCACACTAAGGTGGAAGGGCTCAGGAAGCGCTCGCCAGAGGAGGCACTAATTAAGAGAAGTTCTAAAGAAGGAGAAGTTAGCAGAAGGATGGATGCAGAGGGGCTGTTTCCAGCAGAGCTCGAAAGCAAACCCAAGAGGTGGCAGCAGAGTGGTTGCCTAGGAGCGGGGTGGAATGCCACAGTAGCCCCGGGCGTGAAGGGGGCAAGCTCCCACAGACAGGCGCCCTGCCAGGCCCACTCGGGGCACGGTGCCGTGTGTGGGTCTCTCTGGCTTTGCTCGGGAGCACGGGTGTAGCAAACGCCTTTGTTCGTCGATGCAGTGCCTTGGGCTAAGTTAGAGTCTTTCGATTTCCAGGTAACACGGGGGAAATAAAAAACTGAACTTACAAACTCCAAGGGTCATTTGTTAATTTTCAGTTACAAGCCTAAAACCATAAAGTAGTTTTACCTTTTATTTTCATTTACATTCAACTTATTATCCCTCTTAACTCCAGTTTAAGAGGGTTTACCAGAGATGCAAAGTACAGGATAATATATAATTAAGAAATCAAGACAAGACAAAGGAAAATAAAATAAAGAATCTATACAGTTATTAAAGGTACTTGAAAAGTTGGGCCATGAGTTTTTAATATTCAATACAAAGGAGAAAAACAATATTTACATGTCTCTGCCTATAAAATCACTCCTATAGGAGTATGGTTGACACTGTAGAAGCCTGAGAGAAATTGCTGTGCTGTATAATCTCATAAAGGGTGATATTCTGTGATAGAAATATATTTGGAATAGGCTATTTTACACACACACACACACACACCAGGGACTTTGGTACGACCATTATAACAGCTTCTCGGCAAGCCAGTATATTGATTCCGTTAAACAGTGTTTGCAAAAGCCCAAAGCAGGTTGGGTCCAATGAACAACCGTTTGACCCAAGATCATACTCAGAATATGTAGAGGTGGATGGACATTCCTTCACATTGTTTCTAACGTGCGTGGTGAGATAGTCGAACTTTTGAGCAACAGTTACGGTCAAAGAACAAGAACAATTTCTACCACCAATCCCTTTTAGTTTGCGGTGGTTGGGTTTTTTCTTATTCATATTTTTGGGTTTGACTTTTTTCCAAGAGAGAGAAGGCGTGGAGTGATGGTTATGTAATAATAATGAGAAGTCCTTACTGAGCACTTCGCTGCGCCACACTGCACAGAGCAGTCAGTGTGTATTTTCTAACTTGTGTAGCAGCTCAGTAAGGTGTCCCAGTGCTGGGGCTGTCTCCGTTTCATGTACGTGAGGAAATTCAAATTTCTTAGAAGAAACTCGGAGGAGTTAAATAATGTGCCGACGGATGCCAGCAAGTACGTTAGAGCTTCAGTTCTCAATTTCAGTTCTTTCCTGCTCCCTAAGCTATTAACTCAGCAACATTAATATTGGCAGATAAGTGGAATTTTAGGGGTATTGATGCCTAAAATATTTTTAACTTATGGCAAATACATATTATAGAAATCATTACATTGCAACATTGACCATATTTTTTAAATTTTTCTCAAAACTAGTATATTACCAAATTTTGGGTCTATTAAATTATGTTGCAAATGGTTTCTGTGCCTACAATTAAGAGGAAACAGAATGAGGTGTCATCTTCCATTCCCACGTGAGTGGACGTCACTGACCCGCTAGGTTACCGCTGCCTGGTGAGTGACTGTGGGCAGTGGGCCCGGACACCCAGCGGCTTCCAGTGGGGTCCCGTGTTCTCTCTCCCTGGTCGGGCTCGGCTGAGCGGCCGGGCACAGCTGGACGTGCCTCCAAACGCCGTTTAGGTTCTGGGCTGCTCCACACGGCTGTATTGTCCTTGACCTTGGGAGGATAGTTTCTTGGCCGTGTTGTCCTTGCACAGTCACAGCACGGGAAGGTGAGCCCGGCTCTGCAGGCACAGCTGCTTGGCCCCTCCTGCCTTCCCCGGAGCGAGCCCCAGGGTCAGGGTCAGGGTCCGATAGGCGCATTTCCCTCCCTGGGGAAAGGGCGCGGCGTGGGGACAGAGGCACCGATGGGTAGTCACCAGCGCCGTCAACTGTGTCCACTGTGGAGTTTCCTCCTTTTGGGTAACACTCTCAGTAGACATACAGCTAACTGTGAACCGGCGTGTAGGTGACATACGGCGTTACACACCTTTCACGACTGTGCAAAGCCTGCCTTCCAGAGGAAAGAGTGAACTGTCCCAGTGGAGTGACGCGTTGGTGGCATTATAGTTACCGTGGTGGCTGGAGGGCGGGGGTGACGTACAGGGGTGGGCAGAAGCGGGCTTGTGGTTGTGAATGTGCGGGGCTTTATTTTACTGTTATTCACCACTTACTGTGTTATTTTCTGTGTGGTCAGCTGTGAACCCACGCCTGTCCTGCCCCGCCCTGCCCTGTGGGGTCGTGGGAGTTTGCGGAATTTGGAGCGGTGCTTACTGTACACGCGTGTGTTACGTGCAAGGCACTGCGCTGCATGCTTAAACTTGACTTTTTTCATTTAATTCTATAGCAAGATAGCTGTCCCCACACTTTTATTAGTGTGCAAACAAAAAGCATTAAGCTTGAACACCAAATTCCAGGAAAGCCCTCGATGTGAACACAGGCAGCGTGAATGCAGAGACCACACTCTCCCACTCAGATCCCCGGCCCCCGAGTGCCGTTACTCGGTCGTGGGCTGTGCGGTGGGCTGTGGGTGGGGCTGTGGATGCCCAGCAGTGACGGGGGCGAGAGCACGCCTGTGGCCAGGAGCGATGCGACCCGGAGACTCACACTGTGCACATCACAGTTTTTATCCCTCGGTGTAAATGTGAAAGCTCAGCTGTCTCGTAGTATGTGTTAGAATGTTCTTCACGAAATCTCAGTTTAGCTATTTTTTAAAACTGATGCAAAACTTGAAATTTTCTTCATGCAGGCAAAAGGAGGCAAAGCTATTAATATAGCTCCCTCTTTTTGTAATTACAGTTACACAAAATATAAATATCAGAATGCTTGTTATCTGTGTGTTTAACATGCATCTTGATTTCTTTGGTCTCCGTTTCCAGTGACGTGAAAGTCCCAACTGTAGTTGTACTGAACACTTCAAACCAGCAGTACTTCCTGCTGGACAGGCAGGTGACGAGCACCGAGGACATGGTCCAGTTCATCCGCAGCGTTCTGGACGGCGCAGTGCAGGTGAGTTGTCCGTGCACTTCAGAGGACGCTGGGAGGCGGCGGGGGAGGGGAAGGCAGTTCTTGCCTGTGGTTCCAGAAGGGAGCCTCGGCCCCCACCTGGGGAGGGGTGTGGGCGTCGGCTCCGTGCCTCGCCTTGCGCACCTTGCGGACAGCGCCACATTCTCTGACACCCGGACGGTTCTTCTGCGGCAGAGGCTGCTCATGGGTTATTTGGGGGCATGTGTGGTCGTCACAGGGATTGGGAGGTGCTGCCGGCATCAGAGTCGGGTGCAGGGTGCTCAGGTCCGCAGAGCTGTCCGGGAGTGGCCTTCCCCGGCTCTCGGACCGTCCTCGGGCCCGGGCACGGCTGGGTGATGGGATTCAGATCGGTTTTCCAAGGAAACCGGTGAACGAGACCCCAGTTTTGTACTGAGATTCGGAGCCACAGTGGAGACTTCTGGATCCTGTGGAATATTTCTCAGAAATAACGAACGATAGTTTTTACCTTCCTGTTTTTTTCTGTAAATCTCACTGTGGCGTTTTCATGTTGTTGCCGCTCATGTCAGAGGCTCATGAAGCGGCACACCGGCAGGCTGGAGTGGGGAAGAAAGCACGGGTGTCTGTGCCTCCGTGGAAGTCGGTTGTTTTGTGACACTTCCTTCCGCTTTACACTGACTGTCTCTGAAAGCTGGCTCCCCGAGTAACAAGGATTTCTGCTTTGGAAATCACACAGTAGGGACTCTGTGTTTGCGAAAGGAACGTGTGTGTGCCCGAGAGCCCTTCTCTTCGTAGGCTAGTGACACCCAGCGCGGACTGTCGAGCAGCAGAGCGGTCTCGCTGGCTCGCGTCGCTACGGAACCCAGGGACGGGGCAGGCTTCAGGGCGGGCTGGAGGCCAGGGCTCTGATGGGTGGTCCCGGGAGTTTTCTGTCTCTGCCCGCCCTTCAGCGTTTTTTTTTTTGTTTGTTTGTTTGTTTGGTTTTGGTTTTTTTGAGCTTCGTCCTTAGGGGAACGTTCCATGCACAGCAGCAAGTAGCCCTGCAGCGCCCAGCGCTGAGCTGTGTCGTTCAGCTCAGAAACCGAGCAGGCCTGGACTGCGGTGGGGGGTGGTCGGCGGGGGGCGGAGAGCCAGGGGAGGCGTGCTCCTGGGGGAGAGTGTGCGTTCGCACAGGGAGCGGCGGAAGGTGGGCCAGGGCGAAACCGGCTGGCTCTTCAGGTGCGTCGTGCAGTCCGCCCTCCGCCCTGGGCCAGCAGTTTTAGGTTATGGGACAGAAAAATGAAATAATGGTACTTAAATTAACAATGTAATTGTCTCTTCCTGTCAAATTTAAGGCCCAAGGAGGTGACAGCATTCTGCAGAGATTGAAAAGAATGGTGTTCGATGCCAAATCGACTGTCGTGGTAAGTCGTGACAGTTTGTGTGACTTCTTGGTAATTGACGATGTGTTGGTATACAGGTTCTTTGTGTCTCACTAAGGTAAGATCTGCGATTTGAAAGGGTTGGGTAAATATCTTGATTTGCAAGGTAGCAAGAAGTCTGTATTTACGGTAAGAAGTCATGTTCATCAGGTGGAAACTTTTCCTCTGGTACTGCCTTTCCTTACGGTGAATGAGTGAGTGGAATCCAGGGTCCATAACGTCACAGCCTCACTTCGGGTGTCTGTCAGTCCCCTGACCACTCTGCCCCTGTCGGGCCCTTGCACCTGAGCCCTCCTTGCTGAGCGTGCTCAGCAGCCTCTCTACTGTGACAGCAGAGGCCGGCCTGAGTGGGCCCGAGCCTTCCTTAAACTCCTGGCTGCCTCTCTCGCTGCCTCCTGGGTGTTGCCGGGCATCGCACCCAGAGGCAGTGCTCAGAACCACAGCTAACTGCTGGTGAGAACTGGTTCCCGTGGCACTCCTCCTTGCATCCTTCGGCTTGTGAGCGACCCCCCTTCCCTCCCCGTGGGCACCAGCACGGGCGGGCCCTCGGCACCTCACCAGCTGCTGCCCGGCCTTCTGCTGGCTGCCCGTCTCCCCTTCCCTGCCTCCGGCCCACGCCGCGCCCCTCCACGACGGGTCCCCCTTGGGCTTCGGTGCCGCCTCGAGCCTCCAGCCTCCGAGGGCTTCTCCCTGCGTTCACGCCGTGCGGGGGCGGCCAGCTCCTCCTCACTCTTAAGTTCCTGCCTCAAACACCAGGTTTTAGGAAGCTTTCTCCTGTCCGCTCAGTCCACGGGGACGTGCGCCCTCTGCGCTTGTCCCCATGGCCCTGGAGAGTCAGAGTCGCAGCCCACAGCACGGGCCGCCGTGGGAAAGCCTAGCCGGGCAGATGGCCCCTCCTTTCCTGGGGGCTGAGGTGGTGTGCAGATCGAGGGGCGTGGCTAAGTTGATGTGGCGGCCTCACTGCTGACCAGACACGTGAACAAGCGTTAAATGCACGCGAAGAGAGCGTGTGTGCCCCTTCACTGTGCAAACGGCAGCCCTCTGGTGGGGTGAGCAGGCTCCCCCAGCCAGGGGAGCCGTCAGGCAGCGCCCTGTGTGGTTCCCGTGGGGATGGGAATCATCGTTAGCGCGGCCGTACAGCACTTGGTGCCTGTGTCTCCTGCCAGTGGCTGGTGCACGTGCACACACATGGACACACACACACACACACACACACACACACACACACAGCTTCTCTCTCGCACTGTGTCTTTGACGTGGCGGTCACTGTGGAAGCAGGGACCTGGGGTGGTCGGGCGGCAGCAGGGGACCAGGGCCGGTGGGGTCGCAGCCCCTCACGCTGCCCGCGGGAACTGACTGTCGTTCTCTCTCCGCAGTCGATATTCAAGAGCTCCCCCTTCATGGGCTGCTTCCTCTTCGGCCTGCCTCTGGGTGTCATCAGCATCATGTGCTACGGCATCTACATAGCCGACCCGGAGGGCAATTACATCGAGGAGGAGCGGTACGAGGCGCCCCAGAGCGAGCTCGGGGGCCCGGAGGGCCGGGAGGCGGCTGCGGTGGAGAGCCGGGGGCCGCCGGAGCCGGGGAGCGGGCTCTCGCCGGGGCCCGCCGGGCGGGGGCCCAAGGACGTGCTGGAAAAGAAGACGGACTGAGACCGCGCTAGGGTTTCAAATTAGTAAAGAGTCTATTTATTGAATTCAGACGTTTAATCATGGTCTTTACAGCGGACGACGAGGTATTTGTATTTTGCTAACATCAGCCGCATGGAGTAAAGTAGTTCTTCGTAAACGTGGGGGTGGCCGGCGCCGGGAGCAGTGGCCTGTCGGACACGGAGAGCGCCCCGCCGAGGCCCACCCATGGGACGTGGGACGTCACCCCGGAGCGGGCCGCGCGCACGCTCTGTCTCCGTGTCTGAACGCCGGGCGGCGGCGGCGGTGGGGTCCCTGGGCGCACGTGTGAGCCCTCAGGCAGGGAGAGCTACGTGTTTGACAGAGAAAAGCAAGACTGCCACCTCCCACCACCATCCTCGTATATTTTGGATAAGATTTATATGGACAAAGTTATGTCTTTACAATGTAGTCACTTTAAGGAGAACTAATACCTTTTTCCACAGCTCAAATTAAGATTATGAAATTTTAAGCATTTGGTTTTATAGAGCATAGCCATCTTATTTTCTTATTTTTTAAAGGAGAGGAAATGTTACTTTTTAATTTTGTACTTAGTTGCATTATAGAATTTTCCTATATAGTGGCAAAAGAGAGTCTGATGTTTCATCTCTGCAGCATAACCAGACCCACCTGGAGCCGGCTCTCAGAGCACACGCCGGCCCACAGAGGCCGGCGTCCCCGCAGCCACCTGAGGAGGGGAGGGGCCTTGTCACCCCTGCCCCCTGGGGCGGGGCCGCCCGCTCGATTTCCCTGTTTCCTAACATGCGGTCTCTTCTAAAAATACCCTTTGATCAGCAGCCCTGCTGCTTTGTGAAAAGTAATGTATGTCGTAGTCTCTTATGTTTCTGGAACGACAGCTTCGTGGTGACTTGTCTGACGTGCCTCTGTGCGTGTGCACGCGCACGGACACGTGGACAGTGTGTGGTCATGCGTCTGTCACGTGGGGTTACGGGCACGGCTGGGTTCTTGGTGCGTGGTGAGGGGCACGGGCAGCCCGCCTGCAGAGTCCTGGTCGCTGCCGGAAGGGGTCAGCCAGGCCCCCGCACCCCCCCAGCCCCGTCTGCCCTTCCGGCCGGTCGTCTTCTCTGTCCGTGGAATAACACAGGGGTTCGCTCCCCAGTCAGGCAAAACCTTGGTACTTTGTAAGTAATAGTTTGATATGCCTATTGTAGATGAGCTTCTCTTCAAGGCCTTTGTTTTACCTAAGTGTGGGATTTTTATTAGGTGGCTTTTATTTAGGTGACTAGTCATTGATTGAGTAGTTGAGTTACCCAATATGAAGAATTTTAGTAAACACTGAAAAATGTTCATTCAGCCCTGGCTGGTGTGGCTTTAGTGGATTGAGTGCTGGCCTGCAAACCAAAGGGTCCTTGGTTCGATTCCCAGTCAGGGCACAGGCCTGGGTTGCAGGCCAGGTCCCCAGTAAGGGGAGTGCACAAGAGGCAACGACACATTGATGCTTCTCTCTCTCTCTCTTTCTCCCTCCCTCCCCCTCTCTAAAAGTAAACAAATAAAATCTTTAAACAAAAAATAAAAGTAAAAATGTTCATTCACTTTAACAGTAAGTAATTCGTGGTCCTGACACTGAAGTCGTCTCGGGCAGCCGCCGGCCATTCCTGACGCCGTGCTGGGCACAGCTGAACTGAAACCGCGTCTCCGGTCCTGCGGGGTTGCTGGCGACTCTGCCGCTGAGTCCTGTGCTTAATCAGCATGGGGCAACGGCTCATTCTTAGGTTCAGCACCCCTGACTGTCTTTAACGAGTCACATCTGCAGTCACAGGGAGTTCTAGAGCGAAATGCTCTTGAATGGAAGTGGGAGATAAATGCTGTTAATCCTGCTGCAGTAGATTCCGCTCCACTGAGCAAGGAGGGGTGCTTTCGGGGGTCCACGCGAACGCTCCCAGGGGTCAGGCCCTGCTGGGCAGCACTGAGACGCCGAGGTGAGCACGAGGCGCCCCACTCGAGTCGCAGTCTGGTAAGGAAGTCAAACCCCAGGAAGTGGCGGAGCAGGGCATTGCTTCTGCTCCCTGCCTGTCACTCTCAGATGCCCATCATGTGCACGTTTCGTCTTTTCTCGGGCATCAGAGGAAGGAGCCCAGTAGGAAACAAGGTGAACAGGCCGAACGAAACTCAGTGTGTGTCAGCAAACACGAGTCCAGCGGTCCTCGCCTTCTGAGTGTTCTCGTCTGTGCAGGGTTGTGACGCCTCAGTCTCTGTCACCTCCTTCACACCCGGGTGTCTTTTAGGAAAACAAAGTGGGCGGATGGTTTGCAAGTGAACAATTTGATTTCTTGTTTTTTGTATTTATATTTTGCTTGTTACATGTCTTCAGGGTATTGTCAGACTCCTCACAAAACACTTAAATTTTCACTCACTGCTATGTTTACCCTTCAGTGTGCTGTCAGAGCTTAGTAGGAATGCCTTTTCATTCCTGGAAAAAAGTACTTCAAAGTCAAGGTAGATCTGTGAAGGAGTCTTGTGGAAGAACAGATTTCATCCTAGTTCGGAGGTGGATCTGACCGTGATCACGTACCACGAGAAGGAGTACCCTTGGTCAGGTTGTACTCCTTCGCCTTCTCTCGTAGTTGCAATGAAGTTCTCCTGCTCATCTCTAAAACTCAGAACCCTCCACGCCCGCTCTTGCTGAGCCTGGTGCTCAGACAATGTTCAGAGATGTTTCAGAGGGAGAGAGTCCGTGTTTTTCATCACCTCGGCCTATGCACCCCACTGCATTTTGCCACCCTCCTTCTTTGTTGTATTGCGCACTTTAGTATTTCGCCAATATTGCTGCCTTCTGAAACTTCTTAGAGGTGGGTTAGATCTGGAGTTTTCCTTGTCTTCACAAATCTGCTTCCTGGCATTGGATTTAGTGGTCACATTAGGAGCCAAATGCCTGCAGGTTGAAGGAAGTCTGTCCGAGTAAACAATTAGCTCTATCGTTTCTGTTCAGTGGAGGTTGAACAGAGTGGGTTGAACAGCAGAGGTTCTGTTTGGGGGGCTGTGTTTTGTTCCAGGGTTTGGGGGGTTTGTTTGTTTTGATGGTGCAAGTGTGATTTAAATATTTTCATCATTGCTTCACTATGACACGGAGGTAGGACGGGGGAAAATCACTCAACTGTTCTGATGCAGCACTGTTCAAGTAAACCAGTGCGGAATGTTCAAGACTATCAATTAATTGGTGGGGTTAAGTTTGCCATTTTATTTTTATAAATACCTATTTTTTTTTTTCTGAATGTGTGTGAGTCCGAGAGCGGGCAAACAATTTTCTACTGTGGACTAATCTATAAAGGGTTTTGGAAAGCTGTGTTAATAGCTGAATCTTGATACCCTGCCTTAGGGCACCCGTTGTGAACCTTCGTTTTTTTCTAAAATAAATTAATTGAAAACATGTGATTGTTTATTTTCGCTGTTTATCTTTTGTGCTTTTGCGACAGGAATAATTCTCTCTGCAAAGAGGACAGCTGAGACTGATCTTCCACAAAGCGTTCTTTTTCTCTTTTATTAAGTTGTAAGTTGTCTGTAATTATAGAGACAGTTTTAGAGTGTGAACAGACTGGAGAGACATAACATTCTAATCTAGTCCCCTCACATGGTCAAGAACCTGAGATTCGTAGGTTTGGTACCTTTTGCATTTTTAAAACCTGATTACTTTTAAATATTACAGCATGTAAAGTTAGAATAATTAGCTTTGACTCCTTGATCAATTGCCACGTAGCGATTTTGGACACGACTCAGCCACGCCCCCCTTTCCCCTTGCCATGGAGGAATGCGAGGCTGACACCTGAAGGTTTTCTATAAATGAGCTTCAAATGGGGTGAGCCTGTGATAAACAAACAAACAAAAAACCCACAAAACTTCACACAGATGTTAAGTGTTAACTTTCTATTTCGCGTGTTATACTGTGGGCATGTCTCGCAACGAGAATTGCTCTGGCTCAGGAATAACGACCGCAAAGTGCCCACGCAACTGGTGAAGGTGCACCGAGGGGCGGGTCAGGACGGGCCGCCGGCGGCGAGGGGGCGGAGCCTGTTCAGCGGTGCAGGAATTCCCCGGGAGTGCCACGGTCCTGTCCCTGCGCCTGGCCAGGTCCCTGTGCCTGGATCCCAGGCCTTGCTTCCTCGCGCCACCTGCGTGAGGCTGGTGACAGCCTCTCTGCTCCCCTGTTTGTGACGCGGGGAGATGCCCTGTCTCGCTGGGTGATGAAGGTTGGGGGAGGAGCACACGAGGCATGTTCAGAACGTGAGTGGCACATGGGAACAGCTCCAGAATCCGCTCTGGCATCCGTTTACCCAGGTTAATGTATTTCTCTTCTCCGTTTGAATTTATACCAAAGCGAGAGTAGAAAGAAGGTAAAACCCTAGTATGTTATAATTTGCTCGGCTGCTCTATAATGTAAAGTTCTTAACATTTTGGATGGAAATGAAAACGTTATTTAACATTGAAATTACACTTAATGGCAAATATTTAGGTTCGCAAACATTTCTGAAAGTCCTTTGAATTTGGAGCTTTTCATGAAAATGAATAAGCTTAAGCAGATACAAGTATCCAGTGAGGTGCTTGGTGTGTGTGAACAGTTGAGTTAGTTATAGGTGTGGTTTAGACAGATTCGGAATATTAGTGGATATTGAGTGAAGACAGGAAAACTGTTTGATTGTCTTGCCTGTCTTTCTGACACCAATGAGAAGCCCTCAACTTTTCCCTGCACCCATCTCCTATAAACTGAAGGGCGTCTTTAGCAACGGATGAGAAAGTGGGAATTATTTTCTTGGATTTACCTTCCCAGCGTGTGTCTGGGGGTCTCCCCTGTGCTGCTGCTGCGGCGGAGGGCACGGCAGTGAGAGGCAGTGCTAGTCCGGGTCCTCGTGTGGGTCCTCGGCCCCCGTCCCTGGTGCTAAGTTTTTTTCTGAAAACGCTCAGTCGCAGGCCTTCTGCTTCTCTGTTTGTCATAGTTTCCCTTCTAGAATGTTCTTGGACATAGCATTGTTGCTGTTAGATCTTTGGGATCTGCGGGGCTCAGAGGGTAAGAGGCCAGGACAACACAGAGCATGTCAGCTTTCTTCAGACGTACGGAGGGTCCGACTCACTCAGCACGGCTGCCGCTGGGACCACGTGTCGGTGGGTGACGGGGCGTGCGCCGGGTTAGGGGAGAGCTGGCTCAGCAAAAGGAGCCCCGGGAGGCCCAGAGGCCCCACCCCGGAAATGTCGGGACACAGCAGGGCAGCCCCGTGGTATCAAGGTCACTTCCAAGACCAAGGTTCTGTGAGGCCTTGAATGGAAGGTCTAGGGCCATCCTCTGTGCACATGGTAACGACAGTCCCTCCTCTTTCCAACAACAGCAACAAAAAAATCCCCAATACATTTTTGTCCAGCTTTAATCTAATTGGGTGGATGAAGCGGTTCAGTCACACTAAAATTGTAAAGAAAAAAAACAGGATATTTTTCACTCTTTCACTTTTTTTCACACGAATGTGGCATCCCTGTCTTCATGACTATCGTCACTTGTTTCAGGGATCTTGGTGGATTCAATAACCGGTAGCGTGGGCAGCTTGTGACTTTTCTCTTCCCGTGCTTCCAATTCCCACCCACTGTCGTGTTCTAAGTCTGCCAGGAAAAAGGGAGCCCGTGAAACCCTAGCCTGCCCCCCTTGACCTCGATGAATGCAGGGCCCCGGGTCAGGCCCTGGGTGCCCATGCGCCCCTGGCAGGCCTCGTGGGCTCCAAGGCCTATGGGAAACAACCTCTTCCCCGTGTCCAGTGGTCATCCCCAGAGGGCCTCTGGGACGTCAGTAGCAACTGCCCGGTAGGTCCAGCTGCGACACCAGGTGGGAGGGGAGGGCGGGGGAGGGTGGCAGGTGCAGCAGGGGAGGGTGAGCCACTCTTCCCTCGGACCAGGATCACACACTGTGGGCCCCCATGTCACCTGACTGTTCACACCTTTACTGACCCTCCTGTCTAAATTAGACCTCCAGCTCTCCCCAACCCTCTCAGCGCTTTTTTATAAGCACTCTTTTTAGTTTGTTCTAGGAAATCTGTTTTATTTATTTTTTATTATTTTTTATTTTATTTTAATTGTTGCAGTACAATTTTCTATCCTTTACTCCCATCCCAAGCCACCCACCCAGCCCTCCCCTCCTCCCTCCCATTTACCTGCCCCTAGTTTTTATCCATGTGTCCTTTGTACTTGTTCCTGTAAACCCTAACACTGAAATAAAGAACAGGCTGACAGTGTTCAGAGGGGAGAGGAGAGGGAATTTCAGGGGAAAAGGGGAAGGGTGTACAGGAACATTTATAAGCACTTTTTAATAACTTTATATATTAACTGCTTACCGCCTGCCTATCTCTTCAAATCCTAAATGTAGGCTCTGAATGATCGGAGACATGTCCCCCACTTTCCAAGGCCGTATTCCCAGTTCTTAAAAACTCCTCGACATGAAGTATGCATTCGATAAATATCTGTAGAACAAATGAATGAATAGTTGAATACATTTATATGCTGGTGTGTTTATCACTAGTGTGTTAAGATCGGAAAATTTCCGAGTTTTAAAAAATCAAAGGCCTGTATTTTATTTCAATTGAAGATTTTAGATGCACATTCTGAAAGTATCTAAAGGCTTAATGATTGAGCAACAAGAAAAATAAGTAGCAGGAAAGAGTCCTAAGCTTTGGAAATATTTTGTTTTAATATGGGAGATGCTCAGATTATTTAGCATAGAAGCTAAAATCACAAAATCTGTGCAATCATGAAAAGAAGGATAGGTCAGAAATCAAAAACTGGAAATTTTAGGTAACCAGATACTCTCCATCCTTTAAGTACTGCGGAAAGATAAATTGGTAGCTCTTTTGCAAATGTCAGTCTGAACTCGCTAGCCTCTGTGTTAGTAATTACTACAGTTAAAGCCATGCGTCCTTAGCCGGTGGTGCTTAGCCGAATTACACAAGCATCGACCGCTTCGGATGGTTTGTAAAAATCCGCCCAGACCGCAGCGAGTCTGGCTGGTCTCGGATGAGCTGCTCGAAGCCAGAACGCGGAGAAAAACCACGCTCCCCAGCCGATTCTGCCGTGTGCTCCTCGTCGTGAAGCGGCGGTTTAAACGATGATTAGGAGTGAGAGTTTCAGGGCCTTGGAGAGAAGTGGTGTTTTCCGAGGGTTCCTGGGGAGCCTTCACAGGTCAGATCCGCTCCAAGGGCGTGATACGCTTCAGCAGCCCCATCATGGCCCCTCGGCCCTGGCCGGCTTCAGGAAAGTGGTTTTTATTTTTGAAAGCAAGAAAGTAGGTTATGTCCAGCTGGGATGATTTACCTCTTTTCATTCTGCCAGCGTTCCTCCAGAGACAGGAGCGGGGGCTCGGGGACCTAGGTCAGCCTTTGCTGCGGGGGACACACGGCAGTGGGGGGTGGGTCACGGGGCAGCAGGGAGGCATGAATAGCCAAAGTTCCCTCTTCTGGTTTCACCCTCGTGAGTCATTCGTGTAGAAAATGAGATTTAAAATACAAAAGTGCATCCCCTATTTTGCTTCTTTTTTTCTACACTACCTAACGTAAAATAAGATTTCACGTGACCAGTGCCGGGTCCCGAATAGAAAATGGGAACCGAGGAAACGGAAGAGCAAAAGCCCAGAAATAACCAAAGCACAGCTGTGTAGGAGGGCATTTCTGCTCCGCTGTCTTCTAACCAGGGCTCGTCGTTTCTAGATCACTGGGCTCTGGGACCCAAAGCACTTTCTTCCCTAAGAATCCGGACTGTGTGACTTCAGGTGGGAGAATAAAAATGAGAAAACGAGAGGAACCCAAGTCCCCAGGCCTCAGGGCAGTGACCCCCTGAGGACGGGAGAGGGGATTTGGCTTTGGCCCTGATCCCTGATCGATTTCTCTGCCTTTAGTCCTTCCTCTCTGGTCTGGGTTTTAAAAAACACGCCGTAAAGACCTCCTGGTATACTTAGAGCGTCAAACAGATAAAGCAAATAAGACTAAATGTTTCCACTTGGTGATTCCTAGTAATCATGTGCCCTTCACTTGGGTTCACTAATGGTACTGTTCTTGCAACTTTTGTTGTCAGTTTGACAAGTTACCAAGGAAATGTTGGGGGAGGAAAAATCATAGTAAATTCTTGTTTCATTATGATAATCTCAAATAGACACCATGAGATTTTTTAAACTATCAAGTCTGCTAGAAATATGCGTTGTGTCCTCGGATAAAAAATGCACAACGGCAGGAGTGTACATGGGTTTTTACATGTATCATATTCCAAATCACTTCAATGCAGAATGGCTTTGTGTGAAATGAAAAGCTTAGTACCAAAGACATACATGGAAAGTTTGAACAAAATCAGTTCATGGAAATTTTAAAAAGCCTTCTGCTGTTGAGAACAAATGAAAAAATCATGCTCAAA